TAGATCATTCTGTGTGAAATCTAGATGTATAGTTTTAAACTGTAGCATTGCATGGAAAGCAGCTGCATGCAAAGACTTGATTCCACACCCAATTAATTCCTTTTGAATCAAATCGCTATTCTTTATGGTGGCAGTTCCTCATTCCAAAATGAAATGATCCATAGAGAGTAAGATTGTTAAATTAAGATGTCTCTCTCTGTATAATGTCCAGTATTGGAAGGAGGGCATTTTGCTTAACATCAGATATTGAGCACCTTCAAGGAAGTTGTGCTATAATGTTCAAATCTTGATGGAAAAATATTCTAGACTAAATAGGTTTGAATTTATATGATTCTTCTTAAGGTAATTATCAACTAACAAAATGTATGATTTAAAGTATTGTAAGAGGGTCAACACCAAACTATCAAATTTTAAATATTACATCTAGTACAATAAATTCTACTATCATTAATTGTTGTATCTGTTCTATCATCAACTATTTATAATATATAAAAATATTATAACCTCTCATCATCTTTTCTTCCTATTTCTTTAACTGACAAAGTCAAAATACTGTATTATTCCATTCTGCATTTGAAAAAAAAGATATTCACCTATTACTGCATACCATAATAAACAGATATTTCCCTATGAAATAAAATATTGAAAATATATTAAAAACAGATTTCAAAAGAGAGTATATGTTTTGTTTTCTTAAAAATCATCATGACAGAAAATGACTCAAACTGTAGCAGTGTTTCTCAACCTTGGCGACTTTAAATCCTGTAGACTTCAACTCCCAGAATCCCCCAGCCAGCATAGCTGGCTGGGGAATTCTGGGAGTTGAAGTCCACAGGACTTAAAAGTCGCCAAGGTTGAGAAACACTGAACTATAGGACTATGTACAGGTAGTCCTACACTTACAACAGTTTGTTTAGTGACAGTTTGTACTTATAATGGCACTGAAAAAAGTGGCTTATTATTATTTTTCACACTTAAGATCATTGTGGCATCCTCATAGTCAGGTGATTAAAATTCAGACACTTGGCAGCTAACTTTTTATTTATGACACTTGCAGTGTCCTGGGGTTCATGTGATCCACTTTTTGCCACCTTCTGACAAGCAGTCAATAGGGAAAACAAATTCACTTAACAACCGTGTTACTAATTTAACATTTGAAGTAATTCACTTAACAACAGTGGCAAGAAAGGTTGAAAAAATGGGGCAAACTTCACTTAACAAATGTCTCAGCAACAGAAAAATTCGGCTTAATTTTGGTGGGGAATTGAGGACTACCTGTCTTTGTGCTACAATTTTCTAAGATTTTTACTACAGACTCCAGTTGCTTTCTCATAGTTCTTTTGCAATCAGTTTATTTTCAGATGACTATTGTTTATTCAGTTTTGCCCTTCAATAATTGAATTCCAGAAAAATAAATAGCTTAAGGCATTAACAATCAATGCAACCCGAAGCAATCACCATGCAAGGCATTTAATGGTATGAATGTTACAGTTTCCAGATCAGAAACTATTACAACTAGCATGGATTTTAGAACAAAACAGTTACCTATATAAATAATCAGCGTAAGGAAATTGTAGTTGGCTTAAATTATATGGTTTTTCTACAAAAGCCTAGATATATAGAAATATATAACTATAAGTAGATCACTTTTCTCCACCCTGGTACCCTCAAAATGGGAAAGCATGATTCTCATCATCTGTATCAGCATAGCCATTGGTCACATTGTCTGGGGATAATGGAAGTTGCAGTACAATACCCCTCAAGGTCACCAGTTTGGAGAAGGTTGAGAAAGCTTCTAATTTCTTTCAGAAAGTGCACTCAATGAGTAAAAATTAACAGATTCTAACTAGTCTTGAATTCTATTGAAATAGACTTCAATCAGCACCCCATCTAATAGACTGTTAATTGTCTTTCCGATATACTATAAATACTCAATTTTATAAAACCTACTACTTACATATAAGATAGATTCATTGTTACATCTAGAAAAGCAAAATATAAGGCTCTTTCTAAACTCATTATGTTGATAGGTATAAAATACTATATTAATGTGTAAACAAGATATCTAAAATAAGTTGATATAGCACTGCAAAAAAATTATTTTAGTAAGTTCCAAATATGAAGATTTATTACTTGTTTATAAACTTGTGAAAATTCCTTGGAAAATTTCATTAAAAGTTTTAATCTAGCTTCTTTCAAATTCCATCATAATACCTGTTATGCATAAGCATTTTTTTATAATTAGTCACCATGTACATTTCAACCTCATATATTATTACATATCAGACATATTACTCATCTAAAGAAACAGTATGATTAGAATTAATGGACTCCACCCATGAAAATTGCAAATGAATCTTCCCCTACAAGACTATCATATCAGCAAGAACATAGCATAAATCATAGACATGAACAGAAAGGAGTATTCTGTTACTGATGAATGGCCTTGTATCATTTCTGGACCATTTATAAAATCTAAAACTTACAAAAACTAAAACCATCATAGATGGGAATAAATAACTCTTTCTTCTATTTTTTAAATCACATTCCAAATCATATTTTCAAATCTATTAAAAAATAGGTCAGGAATTGCTGTCAAAAATTAAACATCCATGTGACCTGAGATCAGGGGTGGGTTCCTGCCAGTTCTGTAGAAGAGGTTCCACAAATCTACAGTGCCATTTAAAACCAGTTCCAGCTCCCTCCCCCCGCCTGCCCGCATATCATCAAGATGAAGACTGAAAGGAGGAATCCTGGGAGTTGAAATCCACAAGACTTAAAGCTGTCAAGTTTGAACACCCCTGGGGTTTTTTTTCCTAAAGGGTTA